GACTTCATTTAGCGGGCAGAGCAGCTCTGTAGCGATATAATTGTGGCCGGCGGCCAGTGGGACGAGAGCACGGTGCGCCACGCCATTCTCCATGGCCTGCCTCTGCAGTACGCCATCACCATCGAGTTCACGATGTATCAGCCCAACTTAACGACCCCACAGCTCGTGCTCATGCTGCAGGAGAAGGACAACAACCTCAAGACCCAAGCAAGCAAGACCAGCCTGGTGGGAGCTGTCGGCCCTGGCCGTGCCACCAGTGGAGTCGGCAGCACCGCCAGTGCTGCAGGCGCCGTGGGGGCCGGCGACACCTGCCGCTACTGCGGACAGCCTGGTTACTACATTTGCGAGTGCCCCGTTAAGCAGGCGGACGAGTCCGTCGGCCTTCACCACAGCAACGCATTCGAGCAGCTGCACGCCGCCGGCAACATCAGTTGAGGCAGCCGCAACCGCCACTGTGACGGCGGCGGCAGGGACACTGGCAGCGGCAATGACGGTAACAGCGGGGCCGACGGAACACGTGAACGCGGCCGTGCTTGATGCGGCAACAGCCACCGCAACGGCGGCAACACTGCAGGCGGCAGCAGTGGCAGCGGTTCGGGCAGCAGCGGAAGCAGCTCACGCCAGAGCCGTGCCACAGTGCTGGTCATCGACGGCAGTGGCAGCAGCTCACGAGTCATCCTCGACTCAGGCTCACCGTACCACCTCACGGGTGACCACTCCCTGCTGCACAACCACGTCCCCGCCGGCGCGCCACGGCTGATCGAGTGGGGCAACAACCAGCTGGCCGATGTCATGGGAACAGCGCAGCTGCACCTGCGTACACGTGATGGACACAATGTCCGGCTGCACAACATGCTGCACGTCCCCAGCTCGGGCCTCATCCTAACATCTGTCAACTTTCTCGTGACACGCAGCTGCATAGGCACATTCAGCACGGACAAGACGGGCTGCTGGTTCTCATGCATCGGCCTCCCTCACAACAGCCCGGCTATCACTGCATGGAATGAGTGTGGGCACTACACATGGACGTGGACCTGCAGGCGCCGACCGACGTCACCGTCAATGCCCTCGGCACCGTGGGCGACAGAGCCGGTGGGGGCCATGCCGCAGTTAGCAGTGCTGGTGGAAGTGCCGCCGCTGTCCCCAGCGCCCGTGGCGGCAGCACCGCCGGCAGCCACACTGGTGGAGGCCAGCCGGACGGTGACAGCAACGGCAAAGGGCAACCAGGCAACGGCAGCCCCGGGGCCGCCGAATGCTCAGTCGCCAAACTTGCGGCAGCACAGCGCCTGCACCGCCAGTACGGTCACCTCGGTTTCCGCGTGCTGGAGCAGCTGATCAGCAAGTAGCTGGTGCAGGGACCACAGGTCACTCCAGCAGCACTACACCAGGCGGCGGAGACCGTCTGCGAGGCCTGTGTCACCATGAAGGCCACCGTAACCGCCCATCCCAGCCGCAGCAACCGGCCGCAGCACGCACTGGAGGTCGTACACTCTGACCTGTGCGGGCCCATGCCGACCATGGGCCGAGGGGGCGCACGCTACTTGCTGATGCTGCTGGACGGTGCCACCAGTCTGTCCGCCGTCCGCACGCTGGCAAGCAAAGGCCAAGTGGGTGAAGTGCTGCAGGACATGGTGACGCAGCTGGAGGCCCACCACCTGAACCATGCACGGGTGCACATGCTGCACAGCGACAAACGCGGTGAGTACATCACCGAGCAACTGCGGCAGTGGCTGCGCCAGCACGGCACCGTGCACACCCACTCGGCATCATACACCCCGGAGCAGAATGGAGTGGTGGAGTGACTCAACCACATGCTCCTCGGCCGTGTGCGGACGATGCTGCACGACGCAGCACTCCCGGGCAGCTACAAGCCGGGGGCTGTGCTCTACACCAACCTCCTGCGCAATGTTTCCCCCTCTCAGGGCCGGGAGGCCACGCCGTGGGCAGCTAATCACGGCTTCCCCCCCGACGTCAGCCACCTGCACACCTTCAGCTGCCTGGCCTACGTCCGCATCCCACCCAGCCAGCAGGACAAACTCGGTCCTCGTGCAAAGGCGGAAACCTACCGCCGACCGGAGCACGGCACGGCCGCCCACAGCATCCTCATTGAGGGCAAGGTGACCGTGAGCAGCGATGTCACCTTCAATGACGACCGCCACAGCCCGGTTCACAACGGGCGGGCACCCCCTTCGGCACTAGCCCCGCCTGCCCCGGCGGCAGCAACCCCATCGGCAGCTCTACACCGCCCACCAAGCTGCCGACCCCAGCGGCCGCCCCACCTCCGGTGACCCCAACACCAACCCTCCACCCCAACACCCGCAGTCAACGGCAGTCCCTGCACACTCCCGCTGGCCCCGGTCAGTGACCCCCCCCCCCTTGACAGCAGCAGCAGCGGCGGCGGCAGAGAGTCGGGAAGTCCACCGCTGCTCAGGTGGTAGCGCTGACAGCGCGAAGTCTAACGTGCCCGATGGCAGTGGCGGCGGCGGAGGCAACAGTGCAGAGCACACTGCCAACGACATGCTGGTGACGGCGGACAACCTGCAAGTGGTCGCGGCCACCAAGGCAGCCATCGCCGGTGCTTCACAGGCGTGACCTG